AATGTCACTTCTTAATTATATTTTGGCCGTTCATTCATTAGCCTTAGCTTAGTTGTTTGTTCTTATATTTTTTGTTGGCAATACGTTCAAACCATCTACTTTAATCCTTTCATTGTATTATTTTTAGCGTTCCCGTCCATTTCTGTGTTTGCTCGCTCACTCGATTGCCGTGCGCTGACTCTGAGGCGTGTGTGCTGTGCAGCCAGTGAAGCTAAGCTAGGTGGCTCTCTGGCTGTTATCACGTATTCTCCTAAAGGTAGATCTGCAATGCTATTTGCTTACTCCACAATCGTATGATGTTCCCATAGCAACTGCACAAGTACCCTCTGGGGAACAAGCTCTGCTGGTTGTGAATTACTGACTTAATGTTGATTGAAATGAGCACAGGTTTTTCACTGCCACAGATATCTGGTTGTGCAAGAGCGCCCTCAGTGACCTCGTCCGTCTGAATGTTCATCCACCCGTAGACGTGTTCATTTGAAGTTCAAACTGCTAATTGAAATGACTGAAGAGTTTATCTGAACAAGTCTCCCTCTCGTTTGCACACACTTTCTGGTTCCCTCGGCTGTTTCCGGACGTTACCGTAAGTCTGCAGCGTGTGAGGTGTTTTGCTGTTCTGGCCTACGAGCCGTTGTCTACCCGTGCATGCGCTGTATTCACTGATTTGATTTCAAGTAAAACTGACATTCAATTCTACAGTGAATCCCTTTTTGGATTTTCTGGAGGTTCCCATTCTCCGGTCTGATCATTTCCTCTCATCCTCTGCTGTCTCTCCAGCCATCCAAGGCTTCTCTCCCACGAGGAAGATTCGCAACTTCGAGGAGGCGCGCGGCCTGGACCGGATTAACGAGCGGATGCCGCCGCGCAAAGACGGCCAGCAGCCGGACGGCACCGCGATCGCCCCCACCGCGCCCAACAAGAACGGCACCGACGGATAGGCGGCCCCCTCCCCCGCGTCTTTAAGCGACTCCACGTCCACCCTGCCCCCGCCCGCCCCCCCACCCATTGCTCCCGCTCTTTCCTTGTCTCCGCCTCCCTCTGCGTCCTCCGCCGTCCGCCGCTAGAGAGGACGGAACGTCGTTCGATCACAAAAGGGAAAGGAGGCGATTGTGCTGGGAAACAACTTCCAGCTGCTGACAAAAAGAAATATATATATTGTGTTTTATCTGGTGAGGGGGGGGGGGGTCTTATTAAATATATTAGATATGTTGTTTAATAGCAACAAATCACTCACTGAAGACATTTTGTCCTAACTTATACAGTACGTGACCCCCCCTCTCCTCCGGCCCCCAAACAGATCATTTTATGAACTTGAGTTGATGCAGATAGATGCCGTTTTAGTCACTTAAATTATTATTATTTTATTCTGTGTGTTGAGTGAGGGAGAGATTCCAAATACTGTCGATCCCCGTTTGGCTGTGGAGGCGTTTTCTGGCCGCACAGCGTTCGCTTCCAAGCGCGTCACTCAAAAGAGAAATGCCGCATGTGTTGACAGGTGAAGAGGGGAAGAAAATGATATCAGGACAATTATTACAAATCCAGATTTTATACTTGAAAAAAGGAATTTAATTAAGACTTGTCCTATTTATACATTTTCCACCAAACTTTGATGAATCCCCAAAGATGCTGAATGGACTTTTCTTGGTTCAGTATTTTGTCCGCTTCCAGAGTATTTTCTTTCTCTACACTGACTTATGAGTGACAGAGACGAGTGAGGGCTTACTGCTTTGCGTGTGATGGTAGTTGCTGGTGGTTTGCGCGCTGGTTACGACTTCTATTCACTTTGATGCCAACTGTGATGTTCTCGCTCCGCTAAACCAAAAAACAAATAAAAAGGGGGACATACAGTCCAGCATCTCATATTCTATCAAAAGCGACAGAGACCTGCCAAACCGCCGTGTCCTGGTCGGAGGCGCCCAAGTGCAGCCCGACTCTGCGGGGTCGAGCACGGCACCACAAACCGAAACCAAAACCGTCAAAGTGTTTTGTCTTCGGTCGTCCTTTTTGGACTTAGGAGGACATGTTCTGTCCTCAGAGAGCAGAGGAGCCGCGCTGTCCTCAAAAAGACTTGATGCTTATTGTTGCTTAGCAGCCTCCAGTGTATTTAACAGAATTCTGTCGGTATGGTTGTGTTTTACTGTCGGGGAGAGTAAGAATGTGTTTTTGGGGCTTTTTATTTCATTTGTTTCTAAGCTGTATCAGTATCTCCATCTGCTGTGGATTATACAGAACGCACATCGCAGAGGCAAAGGTTGATATCCAGTGGAATGGCGGCTCTTCACTGCGCGCGAATAAGCACCGAGTGTACCGCCTACAGAGTACTGTAATCATCTCCACCACGGCCGACTCGCGCGTGCACACACACATCATACTTTAGGCGCCATGTCGGGGGACCTGCTAACGCTGGTGTGCACAGGCTTTAGTGTTGGGCCTTCCACCTCCGCTCCCCTCCGGGGCCTTTAAGACACACGAGACCAACTCAACCGGTGCTTCGACACACCTGACTGTAATTCTCTTCTTTCTGTCAGTCCCAAAAAAAAAGAGGTGGGGAAATAACCGTTTTCATTCGCTTTCTCTTGTGAATTGACCCTCTTTTCTTTTTTTCTTTTTGGTGGTATTTTTAAATGAGGCTTCTGCGCTCGTGTGCCATGCCACCTCGGCCACACATGTCAAGATCTGCGTGTGCGTGGATGGCCAGACTTTCAGGCACACATCAATTTTTAAAGATTCTATGTCCGTAATATTAATCTTGATATCCTAAAACTTTTGCAAAATATTGTTGTTTGCCGTTACGTTCAGTAGGCTTCTGGGAGAGCTCCCTAAAGAGGAAGTATTTGGGTTTTGTTTTAAAGTTGAGGCTTTATTGGGTGAGCCGTACAGTATGCTGACCTCCTGTTAGGTCCTAATACATATCTCGCAGAATGTAAAAGTAAATATTGTTCATTAAGAATCTTATAATAGCTGTAAAAAGGGGTGAAAAAAAAACTGTACCGTTTTTGTCATGCAAGGCCATGAAATCTTTTATGTAGATGTATCACTTGAAAGAAAAGAATAAAATTCAAATACTGTTTTACTTGACTCGTCTTGGACGTTATTATTTACCCTCAGGTTGATTTGCATTGTGTTACCGTAGCGGCAAACCTATTTGTAGCGTAAAGATGTGGGTACAATGTGTCCTGTGTGTGTATTGTCTCTGCTCTGTTAATGCAGCCGGGTTACATACGACTGAACTCCGTGTACAGAAGGAAGTCTACTGGTTGTTCGCTGCTGCCGCGAGGACAAAGCATAAAAAAAGGTTTCCTCACAAAAAATATATTTTACGTGGAGTTTTAACATTTCATTTTTTGCACAAACAAGGTATATGTACAAAATCAAGTTTTCTTTTTCATTTCTCACCTGGACCTGCTCCCTGCATCCCGAAGGGCAGTGACGGGGTAAATCCTTGCTCGAGAGTTGTTAATAGAGCTCAACATTACTACGGCGTGCTTTAAAACGGACCAGAAAACATGGTGCGTTGGGTTTGCAGATGTCTACAGTAGTCATTGTTCACTTAAATCTAACATCTCGCATGAATGCTGAGATCACAAGAGTTTATAACTTTTCCATACCTGTTCACTCAGTGAACTCTCCTGAGACCTGCAGCACGACCGGTGTGCCTAGATCTAATCCAGATTATCTAGCATGATGGAAGTGCTACCAGCTTGCTTGTCTTTTAAGAAGTGTGCTGATTCTGAAGCCCTTCAATTTGATCGGTATAGTTAACATATTGGATTAAATTGGAAACTGTATCTTTGTATATTACAAAAAATCTGCTTGCTTGTGTGCGTCGGGATTTGATTGCACTAAATGGACCTGAGTGACTGAAATGTTAGAAATAAATCAATGCAGTTCATCTGTTTCAACAATTCCATCCAGTAAGTATTCTGTGCCGTTATTCTTACTAACTAACCCGCCGTGTATAAAACCATACAGCTCACATTCAGCGCTGGAGCTGTTGATAGGAGGAGTAACCCAAACTCAATAGTATAAAAAAAGTCCCTGAAAGGTTCATCCGTATCCTCAGTATGCAAGTATCAATTCCAAGTCCAGTTTGTGCCTTCTGCAGAGAAGGCGGGCGGGACAAGACGCCTTTGAACCTGTCTGGATTATCAGCAGCGCCTCGTTGGGGGTCAACGCGCAACGGTGTGGTTCACCAGTAGGTGGCACTGGGTCCGACATCAGACCTTTGGTGGAGGCACTGGCCTCAGAGCCTGAAGAAGACAATCAAAAAAGAAATGCACTGGATGAGTAAACGGTTTGACGTTTATTCTTTAAACACCTTTGTTTGCTTTCCTCCTGAGAGTCGGATGTGATGAACGACACCACGGACATTTTCATAGCCTGAATGTGCAGCTTTTACCAGCTGGCTCTCCTGACTGAGTCCGTGGGTAACAAAGCTCACAAACAAATTCTGTTGGTTTAGAAGACTAAAAATAAGCTTTTAAATCCCCCCAAAAACGCTGGACTATTTCTTTGCCGGTTTAAATCGCAGACAGTTTGTAATGGAAAGATGGAGGATGTCACTCCTGAACAACTGGAGATGTACGGATGGCAGATATGGGTCCCGGTCCCAGTACCACACTGCGAGGCATACACTTTATAAATTAAACACTGGTGTTGGATTGGTGCTCGACGTTGACCGAGACTTAAAGCCCAGGTTATGGTTTCAGAATTCAAAAAGGGACGGACCACTTCAATGTGATTTTGGCGACCGGCGCAACCCCAAACTTATGATCCCGACAGGGCTTTTCCTCTGTGGCTCAATACAAGATGCAAACACACGGAGAAGCACGTGAGATCCCATCGGGCGGCAATTGAAAAAGGCCTCGTTGTTACCGCAATTAGTCGGACCAGTTACCTGACGAGCAGTCTTGTAGTTCTGCACCGGGGGCTTCGGCCTGTTCCCTGCCGGAGGTGGCGGAGGAGGAGCTCCTTTGGGTTTCGGCATTCGCGCCTAAAATTTCAAGTAGCGTTAGTGAATGCGTTTGGCGGTAAGACGGCGTGTCCGAGCTCAACGCGGCGTTACCTGCGCTGGCGCGTCTTGGCTGGGGCGGGGGACAGGCTGCTTCCTCTGGGTGTGCACTCTGTTTTAGGATGACAGACTTAATGTGCTTCGCAGACTTGAGATGAAGGTAACGCGCGACTACGACATGGTGACGGTCACTTACGTCGGCAACGCCGGAGTTTGCCGCCTTTTCCAGATGACTGCTGCCACGCCGGCAATGACCCCTAAAGCCAGCAGGACGATCGTCACCGCGATGCCCCACTTTGCTCCTGGAATGAAGATCCGTCGTTGTTGTTTTTCGCTTCTTTTTAACAGTGCATACCTTTTTGAGCTGCTGCGTAGGTCTTACCAGGTGAAAGAGATGTGAAAGCTGCGTCCTGGGAGTCGCATTGAGGAGGAAGCCAACCGGGCTCACACTGACACTCACTTCTGTGATTGCACACCTGAATGAAGATGTTTTGCTGTTATCGCATGGCACCCACTACATCCACGCTGACCAGTAGGGCTGCTCATCTCAAATGTTTGTCGCGACTTATTTCTCAACTTTCACTCAGTAACGTGCATTTATTTAACACTTTTTTTTTTACATTTGATTTACATCAGGGATTGATTACACCTTTTACCTAATTTCTATTGGTTGCGTGTACTCACAGCATGGCCGGGACATTTGGCCGAACAGTTTACATTTCTGTACGCCGTCTCAAGCTGCACGCACTCGTTCTGCCTGCACACCTGGGTGAAAAAAGAACCAGTCACACAGTGAGTAGATGTGCTTCTGCAACAGTCAAACCTGTGGACTTGTTTTAGATAATAAAGATATCAACGACCCTGTTACCTTTCCATCCTCACATTTAGTCCCCGTGTCCACCTGGCCGTAGTCTTTGGTGGGGTCGTCGTAGAACGTTCCCTTGCAGTTTCGGACGGTCACCATGCGGCCGTAGTTGGGGCTGACATTCCCGCCGTGGCAGAAGAGCTTCCCGCATAACACGTCTCTGCCACGGAAGAGAGGGTCAACAAAGCTTCTGACTTCTGACCAATGAAACGTCAAAGTAAACATTTGGCCCATCGCACCCAACTTTTTGCTAAAAACTCACTCTTTCTGGCAGGGGATGTAAGTTTCCTTTTCGGGACGCTTGCAGAAGGCGAAGTATGTTCCTCTGGTGTTCTGATTATAGCAGAATGATTCGCCCTCTGTGGCGTCTGAGGACAGGAGACGATACAACAGGTGTCTTTGGGGTGGTTTTAGATGGGTGGCCCATCTCCTTTTATTTGAAAAGGTTACATGAACGTATAACAGGACGCTCACCTCCTCCGAACATTTTGCCGCACTGGTTTACCCTCTGAGGACACCGACCGTCGAAGCAGTACCCCAGGTCTGCGCCGCATGGCAGGCCGTTCACGCCGAAGACGTCCTCGGGACAGTTGGGACTCTGCCCGTCACAGTACTCCGCCAGGTCGCACTCGTCCTGCTTCCGTCGGCACTCCGTGGACCGAGGCGACACCTGCGTGGGGGGAAGGGCCAGGGTCGGCTTGATCAGATCACATAGCGTGTTTTTACACCGGGCCCTCGCTGGAACGTGATACGAGCAGAAAATATCACTGCAACTCCAGTTGAACATTAATGTGTGTGAATGAAGATGGAGCGCAAATGAAAGACGTCAATTCAATTCAGGGCAAAGCTTCCTTTGGAAAGATGCAGTTGGAGCCCATACATTTCTGGACAACCATGTCACCACTTTATCCGTGCAGAAACATGCCGATAAAGGGAAATATTGGGGGAGGTGTTTTAAGATGGGAGCTTCAAATGAGCCATTCGGGTACCATCTGTGCCATTAGAACCGTTGTTGTCTTTCAATTTCACCTACATGTTACTACGCACAGCAAAAAACAATCACTCCTCTATTCATATTCCCATCAGAAGCAAAACGTAACCCAGTGTGGGCAGTGGATGAAGACAGAGCTCGTTACTCAGCGCGTCTATTGGATTGAGTTTTGTTTAAGTAGAAAGGTTTTCTCATGAGCTTTTACCGGAGCTTTTCTGGCCTTCTCACATAAGTCTGACTACTGCTCTTTGTTATGTTCACCTGTTGGCCTTTTATTCTGTGTGGATAAACACGTTGAGGTGTTTCCTCTCGGTGTAGGTGCAGGGGAAGTTTCATGGTTCCGCATCACAAGGCCAGGATTGTCACGTTGTTGCGTTATACGTTTTATCACATTTTCCCGATAACTGCCTCAGAAATGCTCACTTATTGAATAAGGTACGGTCACATGGTTGTTGAAAACGAGCTGGATTTGATGCAAGAAGCCTGTGACTCACTAGAGGGCGGCAGCGAATCAAACAACATCTGTTGGCTCACATCTGCTCACCTTACAGTCCTCGCAGCACTCGCCCTCTGCACACTGGGCCCCCTCCTTCAGGGTGCAGATTGTGGCGTTGCAGCACAGGTTAGTGCACTCCTGCAGAGGGGGGGGGGGGGGGGGGGGGGGGGGGGCAGAGAACTCATTAGGCTGTAGTTCATCAATGTTGTGTTTTCAGTGAGTTGCATGTGTTTTATTTTATTTTTTAAAACAGTGATTATTAGGCCTGTGGAGACTTTCCATGAGCCGTCACAGAATTTGATCAAAGTCGACCGTTTTTGACAACTAATGCTTGGTTGAAATGTTGTGGTATTTCTTTATTACTTGATTAGTATGAGACTGTATGCGGCTGACAAATCTATTGATTAAAGGGTATGAATCTTCAGCAAGAAAGGCACCTTAGAGGCACGACATTTGTTTTTGTCCAAAGTTGGGGGGGGCGAGGAGCAACTGAACCCATTCAGAGAAGGAGCTTGTTGTTCCTCCCCTGAATGCCTGTAGAAGCTGAATCAAGCTAAGAAGGGCCTCAGGAGGGGCTCGCTCTCCTCAGGCCCTGAGGCAGGCAGGGGGCGGTCAGACGCTACGTCTGTCCTCGCTGTTGAACCGCAGCCGGGCGTGTTAATGACCCGGGCGCTTTGGGGAGGATTAAACTGGTTGTTTCACCGTCTCGCTGCCACAGTCGCACTGTTCTCCTTTTTCCAGGAAGCCGTTCCCGCAGACGGAGGGGGGCAGCAGGTCGCTGAAGTCCGGTTTGTCCAGCAGGCATTCGGGGTTGCGGCCCAGCAGGTATTTCTCGTATTCGTTCCCGCTGCAGCTGCTAAAAGTCCGAGGGATATTCCAGCTGAGGAGAAGAGACAAGACCTTTGACTTCCGACAGTCCAAAGTCGCATTCTTTGAACTACAACAAGACAAATAAGTTCATTTTTCATGGTGTAATGCGCCACGTCCGCTTCAACTTTTAGAACTTGATCATAGCTGCCAGGACGCAGCGAGGGGGGGTCCATGTGTTCTTCTGTTAAGCCCTGTTTATTAAAACGTCCCCCTAAATCATTTCATACCTTTAAATATTGCAATGGATTTAAAACAAAGAAGAAGGATAGGCGGGTTAGGGTCCTTTACTGAAATATCATCAATTTGATGTCTTACTTGTCAAACTTGGCCACACCCACAATGCAACTTGTTTGGTAGAGCTCTACCTCACATGCTTCTTTCTCTTTTCCTTATTCTAGCTTGTGATTACAGACCCACCACTCATGTTTGCTTCATATTGCTGCACACCAACTGGTGAGTTGTGGTGAGGTGGTGTAGACTTAAGGTTGTACCACACGTCGGTCGTAGTATTTTGATGTAGTTTATTCAGCAACTGTTCCTACCTGAGTGCTGCAGCCATGATGCAGCTATCAGCAGAACAAGCACAGGTGATGGAGTCGTCGTGGTCCATGCCCAGGTTATGGCCCATCTCGTGAGCCATGGTGGCCCCCACTGCTATGGCCCGGTCATTGTGGTCCTGAGGGATGGAACGCTTTCATTTTAGTCCCTGTTATCGCCATTTCACACTTTTCCTCATTCTGCTGTGATTTCTTTTTGTGACCACAGCAATGTTCCCGTGGCAGAGTCTAGACGCATGCTTAAGTTGCACTTAATCTTTATGTTAAAATTGAACAGTGGCTCTGAGGCTGTACTTTAGTCCAGGCATTTCACCTAGAATGTGTAGGTTGATCACGCAAATCACAAAATAAAACAAAATCAATGGATTTTTGTCCTTTATATGTTATACACGAGGAAACAAAAAGGCCGGAAGGAATGTTTTGAAAATCATCTAAATATAATGGTGGCCAAATGGCACTTTCAGTCATGCTTTGGTCCCATTACAAGCCTTTATGGAGTCTTCTGTTAGATTTTCACAGAGATTTTTTATTTGTGAAAGACGCCATTTGTTTGATTTATGTGAAGTCAATTGACATTATATTATAAAGCACAGAACTTGTTGAGATTTCTCAGTCTGGAGCTAATTGGTGGACTGACATTGCCATGGCTAAATATTTCATTCCCTGGTTGCTATGGTTGCACGCAGGCTGGACCGCAGAGTGTCTATAGGAGCAGCAGCCCAGCACCTCACCTGAATCACTCCAACAGAGTGACCCGAGCAGAGAGTCCCGATGTACGCCAGCCCCACGGTGGCTCCTTCAAAGTCAATACCGCTGAAAGACGAGCAATGAAATCAATCGCCACGTCCACATTAACTGGCACCATGTGGATTCTTCAGTGCTGATAAAGTAAGCAAATATCTTAGTGGTAGTTTACACTGTTCCAAGTACTCAGTTTGTATACAGGGAGGAGAGTGTGACATTTACCGGATGGGCTGGCACTTCCTGTAAGCAAGCGGTAACTTTCATTTACGGTAGGTGTTGGTTCAACTTATGGAGGTTACACTTCCTCCTGATAGGAGTTGGCAGGCTGTTGTCTGAGGGCTCCTCAATGCCATGTAGAGGAAACTGTGAGCAACTGTCCAAATAATGGCTTTCTATGCATGTGATGAACGCAAACATTATCTATGACAGCAAATGTTAAAAGCCGACCATTGTCCAAAGTGCAGAGACAGGAAAGCTGCACGGGCCTGATGTGGAAACTTCCAGTACATGAGGCTCATTGTGCATCAAGAACCGATGAACCAAAGTGCATACATCTTGTTACACTCGTAGACAAAAGACAGAAATGGCAGCTTCCTTCTATCTATCACGAGATAGAAGATAAGAAACTGAATGATGTGTTAATGCTGTGGCCTGACCCACCAAACTTTTGATCCCGAGAGCATTTTAAACTCTTGATTTTCAATAATTAGGACCGTCCAGACCTGATGAATTGTGCGTTGTCATGCTGTTTCCTTTTCAGAAGCTCAGTGTTCCTCCACATCATGAAAGCGTTCAGGTTGGCCCCGGCCGGGGGGGTCACGGTGAACAAGTCCCGTTCGGACCAGATTTCCAGCCCCACCAAAGCGATGAAGGTCCTCAGTGGCTTGTACGCCTGCAAGCAAGCAGGTGTTCACAGTTACCTTTATTCAAATGAGGAGACATGGTCACCCTCCAAATGCAATAACAATAGACATTTCCTATATCTATTATCTACATGGAGACTGAATGTCGTCATAATAAATACCCGTATATTCCTGCTGATGGTGGCTATGTGTCATTTGGGGTTCAGAATATGCCCAGAAATCACTGACTCACCATGTTGATGAAGTTGACAATTTCAAATATCCTCTTCCTCAGCCGCGTCTGATCTCGCTCCATCTTCACGTACTGAAACCACGCGTCGGCATGTTACAGCACACTCACGTCCTGTTTCTCACCAGTTGATGATTATAAATCACCCAATGATTCATCTTGGACTTTGCTCCAAAAAATACCAATGTGTGATTTGTTCAAGATCCAAAACGTTTGCCAACATTAGAAAGATAAGTTTAGTCACGTCACTCACAGAAACTGTGCTAAATTAGAAACAGAATGACTTCATATGTGTTGCTTACCGCCCGATTGTCAGCAACAATGAAGAGCTCAATGTATTTTTGTTTCTGGGTGATAGATATTGTCTGGAGGAAAAAAAGAACAAAGCAGGTCACATCTTGTTGAGCTTTCAAACGATGAGATGTGTCTCATCTCGTAATGAATGAGAAGATGTTTTGGCTTCGACGGCGCTCACCCGTGACTTGGAGCGGCTCTGGCTCGTGGGGGGTTCGTAGTCGTCGCTCCAGCTGGTGTTGGTGACGCCGCACACAGCGGGGGGGGAGTTCTTTTCCTCAAAGGTCATCACCGCGTGGTCCCCCCCGTCGCCGCCGGACAGGGGCTCGATCAGGTACCTCTGGGCCGACGTTCTGAAGTAGCCCCTTCAACGTGATCACGCCAGTTAGTCGCTGAGGTGAACGCGCAGCGAGGGGGGGGCCGAAAACGCCTGTTTCTCCTCAACATTAACTTCAAATTGTAAAGATCATTCAAAATCATAATAAATAAGGTCAGTTAAATAATTGGTTGCAACCTTGAAGTGAAGATAATTCAATAATTTATTAACTTGGGACCCTTTTCTCCAATAATAGACATCTGAAATAAAGCAGGGCTCATTGAATACACACTGCTTTCTGTAAGTGGTCACAAGCCGAGAAGGTTGGGTGACGCCATTTCACTTTGTTTGCTAACTGTAAATTCCCTGGCTTCACCCGTTGAGGTTTAATCAAACACCAGCTGCTGGTGTCCTTATCTTGAGATAACGTGTCGGACTGGCAGGTAAAGTCAAAGGGAGGCGGTTTCGAGGGCCTCACCTGAGTCCATCACAGGTGCTGATGCTGACGGATGACTGGCTGTCTTTCACAATGCTCCCATGATAGTAGCAGTGGTCCTGACACAGACGCACGGACAGGAACGGCGTCAGCAAATAAAGGCATCCAGACATGAGGCTTAATGTGGTTTCAGCAGAGCATAGACGGGGGGGGGGGCGCTGCGTGTACTCTGAGGTAAGTCACATCTCACGCACAGGAGAACTGAAACTCAAAGGCGCGGAACTCACGATGTCATCCGGCGCCGCGGTGACCCGAGTCCCGTCGGCTTGGTAATACGTCTCTGTGTAGTCTTTGGTGAGTAATTCGCTGATGATGGAAAGAGGATTTGGGTTAAAACACAGCAATTGTTAGGAATGAGCAAATGAAACATTTAATGTGAAATGGGATTCTGAGGCTGCAGGAATCTGTTGTTACAGCGGAAATATCGATGGCATGAAAACCGCAGGGATTATGACAAAAGAAAAGAGAAGTAAAACCAGCAAGTGTCCCTGACACATTGCTTCACACATTGATGTTACACACAAATTCAATCCATCAGGGATTTATTGACTTACTGGTTTCTTTTTAGTCGCATTTCGATGTCTCTGCCTCCCAGCGTCATGGCGTAGCGGACAGTTTCTGGCCGGAGATGCTGAGCAAAGGAAAGGTTCATTCTTATTTTCCTGTGACTGACCACGGCAACGGCAGCTCAAACGTGTCTGTATCATTTGAAAAGATGAAAAGCACCTCTGCATGCCGTCTTCTAACCGAGTGGAGTCTGACTGGTCGGACCACCTCGTAGTCCTTCACGTCTTCAAGGTCGTGCCCCCGGCTCTCTGCGGGGATACAACACACATTGTGTCCCTGAGTGATGGGAAGGTTTACTGTCTGAACCGCGTCGCGCAGGAGGAAGGATTCGAGAGGACAGTGTTTTCGTTGTTTGTGTGTCTGTTGGTTTGTGGCAGGTTGCAACCAACGAAATCACCCTCAGTTCCCCCCTTTACAAGCACGGGACGTTTATGAGGAACGGAGAACACAGATCCCTCAGTCCTCTGTCCTTCCCTCAGCCTTCTGTCCTCCCCTCAGCCTTCTGTCCTCCCCTCAGTCCTCTGTCCTTCCCTCAGTCCTCTGTCCTTCCCTCAGTCCTCTGTCCTCCCCTCAGCCTTCTGTCTTTCCCTCAGTCTTCTGTCTCAGTTCATGTCTTTGTGTGTGTGTAGTGTAGCAGAGCAGATGCTCACTGCTGGGTGATGCACTCGGACAGTGTCTTTGAAAAGTAATGCAGGAGACGGCAGGGGGGGAAACATCTGGCCCATCTGTCCGAAGGCAAAAAGAATCAGCCCACGTTCACCTGTGCTAATAACAAAGTGACACGTCCCACCGTGTCTGTGCAGCGTGGGCTTAGACGCCACGTGTTCAGACACATATTTCCTAAAGGGAAAGAATGTAAATAGCTGATTGTCAAACTATTCATCTTCACAAATTAGGTAAAATTTCATAAAAGTAGCAAAAGTGAGGGCAGCATATGAGCAGTCTGACGGACCACCTGTGACCACATCTGCATACTGGATGACGCCCATTACAGACTGAATCCTTTCAGACTCAAACTAGAGAGAGGGGAAGTTATTCATGGCAGCTTTCACCACAGATCACACATTAACTCGGGCTACATTATTGCCAAACTGTTACAAAACCTTTTGCTCAAACACACACAATCCTGAAGCCCGAACAGTAATTATGTTTGTTTCTTCTGTTGCAGCTTGTTACCGACCGATGACACATTGATATGAGACGTGAACGGTATCGACACACTGCCTGAAGGTGGATATTAGTGACGGGGCCCTTTGATAATGAGCAGAAACAATAAAGGCTTTGTGAGACAACCGTGGATGCCCGGTCAGACTAATGGAGTCAGACTGTATTCTGGTGGTATGATGAGGCACACATTAGATTGTCCACCGGCAATGTGGGAGGCACGTCCCCTTCTTTCTTCGTCTCCATCATTCCAGCTTCTAAAGCTTCTCCCACCACTTCTCGTTCCTAAACAGTTGAACAAGCAGTTCTGCAGTCACGCCGCAATTTCTTCATAATTTGCTTGTGAAGGTTTTGTGTGCGAAGTGTTTCCCCCGAAAACGCCATCGAGTGGAACACAAATCAAAGGGGAGGCAGGGAAGCACGCAGCTCCTTGTAAAGGTGCAAATGTAACATCACCTCTATCAATGAAACTACAGGGTTCGTAGTGGAATTACTGCATGAACTCCAATGAGTAATGTAACCAAAATAGGTTAGAAAAAGGCAACAAAAGGGAGCAAAATAAAACTTGTTCTGTGTCTATGCGTTCTCTGCAGATTTCACAAGTTCCTGATTTGGAACTTGTGGATTTTGTCTTACCGACGTCTCCCCCCCTTGTTGCTGCTCCTTTACCAAACATCTGCATCCCCGGCCAGTTTCTCTGTAGCACCTGACAGGGGCGGCGGCTCTGCGGTGAGATCTGGAGCTCGGCCTTCCCGGTGTGTCAGCACAGCACGTCTGAGGAAAGCCCCCTCCCGCCCCCCCCCCCCGGGTCCTCTCGCCTTTATCAGACGGCACTGGGTGTGTTTACAGTGTAACACGCTAATTGATTTGAAGATAAAGGCTCACTGACACTCTTTGTAATCCCACGTTGCACAAGACATGCCTCAGGACCAGAGAGCCCCCCCCCCCGTCACTGATGCAGGGGGAAACTCAGTGAAAGCTCATTGAGACAGAGAGAAATCAGTATCCTGAGACCGGTCGGGAGCTTCACGGGGCCGGTCGAGTCTTCTAATACCACATATCATATCTAATCACGTGTTTTTGTCCTTCACGCCTCAGGAGCAGAAGCCAACAACTGTTTCAAACACGCAGGACAGCGTTAGTTATTAAACAGCCCCCGAGTGGAGGTAGCAGTATCGGGTGACTCACCTGAGGCCTTGATGGAGGCATTTAGGACGAGGACCCACAGCAGGAGCGTTCCCTTCATTGTCCGAGTGCAGGCGGTGTCCCGGTACCAGAGCAGACCGGCGCGGCGATCAGGACTTTATGCTGCTGCTTCCTGCAGCCCGTGTGAGGCCACACCTTCTCCTGGAGCTGTCACGGCTACTTCCTCACTGGCGACAGGTTCACAACACGCTCAAGACCGGCCCCAACACGCCCCCGTGCTTCTCTCACAAGAATGCAGGGCGGATGTCATACAGGAGCATTGTGGTTTCAGCTGCAGCCGCACACGGACTTGCAGACACTTCCACCTTTTGGTGCCCGTTCAAAATATTTTGCCGCTTCTTCTTTTTATTCCGAGCAGGCCGATTGCATCCTGTGTGGGGGCTGACTGACTCAGTGCTGAAGCCACATTGGGATTTCCACACACACACACACACACACACACACACACACACACACACAGACACACACAGTTGCCGCTTGTCACGCTGTCGTCACCAAATATCTCCAAATAAAGAGGTTTGTCCAAATAAAGGCACAAAGATTGATCTCCGATGTGCGAGTTGCGTCCATGCGTCTTCTCTCCTGCTCCTCCAGGCCTCACCCACCGGGCGCAGGGCCGGGGGGGTCAAGGGGGGGTCACAGCAGAGACAACGGGTCAGAAGACAATAAAGCCAATGTGTGCGCGCTGCCGCGGCGGCAGACAGAGGGACGTTTGAGGACACAGATGTGCGTTGGTGGAGCACAGTAGAGTTAAAGTAACATCTGTGTTATCTTTGGTGTAACGATATGGCCTCTGCGTGTCTCTGCGTCCTCGCTGTGTGAGGCGAGGGTTGATGTTGGGAAGCATAATGTAGGAAAGGCAATGTTATTCACAGTGAGAAAACATCATGGGTCATTTAAAAAAACCAGCAGCAGAACATGCAGAGTTCTGAGGAAAGCCAACGGGATCAGCACACTATAACAAATGCTCCAGTTCAGGGATCTACAACGTTCTTCAGGCCAAGGTCCCCCAAACTGATGGGGAGATGGAGCAGGGAACTAATAAACGGAAGGTCATCTACATTCTCTTCTGCCATTTATAAACATACATCTTGCATAGGACACTGAGCTAACAATTAATAACAACTTAAAATAATTCACAGATTTTTTTTAAATGTTAACATACATATAGAAGGGACAGTGAGTCCTCCGCGGGCCCCCTGTTGAAGTCCTACGGTCTAGTTAGTTAACGACTGCCTGCTGAGGATTTATTGCCCCGTGCATACAAACATGGAGCTACATGGTTCACACATGGGCTCAAGGCTTCGGGCAGGTAAACCCTGGCAGCCCGATGCTCATTCCTCCTGTGATGCACATTTTTAGAAAGTGACCCAAACATCGAGTCTGGACCTAAACAGCTGAACAACTGTCTCACTGTGACTGTGGGTTCAACCAGAAGTCAGAATCTTCGGGTTCTTTACGGCCTGTCCCTCCCGTGGCTGAACACGTCAGACTGCTTATTACTTAGAATTAGTCATTTCCTTATTATTCTGCTTCCGACTCTCAATATGTGAGTCATTTCTGTTATATACGTTGGAGGTTTTGTAAACCCTTTTCACATTGTTCATTCTGTACACATGCAATCTGTTGTAACCCTCCTCTGCTGGCTTCCCTGTAGGTTTTTTCTCTCCCTAGAAGGATTCTTTTGGGGGGAGTTTTTTGCTGAGATACGCTGCTGTGGTCTGTAAAGGCTGCAAAGAAGGACAATGCCACTGCAACTCCTGTGCAAGCAATGGCCCACAAAACCTGCTGTCCTCGTGGAAATTGACTTTTTCAAACTGACTCATAGCAGATGAGGTTGGAGTGAAAGATCAATTCATCAGAATTCTTTATTAGGCATGAATCATGGAAAGAAAAGCACAGCTCAATGGATTGCAAAGTTTCCTCTACTTTCTGAGAGAAATTGTAAAACCGTAACTTCATTTGTTATGTACACTGATGGATAAACGTCGGCCCAAACCCAAAGGTCAGTTCCACATCACAGCTGGAGATGCTGAGCAGTCACATGTCACACAAGCCCACGTGTGGATAAGACATGTCCCTACTTGGCCGTCTAAACACAGCGATGTGGGACGTTTGCAGGGCGTAGAAGTGCGTCCACGTCCAGTCTGTGAATATCAGTGCGTCTTTTTATGAGGGACCGTTTAGGACTTAACTATTGACTCTGAATGATGTCCCTCACGGCCCCTCACACTTACACATACATACTGTGTAAACCTATGCAGGCGCATATGTAGAACATCATACGTTCTCATGCATGCACATGTGAAAAGGTTGTATATATACATGAATAACCGAATCTAAAGATATTAAACGTTTAGAAGCATATGCAAGTGTTGCATATATTTATATGAATGTTTCTAATATGAATGTATAAGTCTTTCAGTTATTTGTATGTATTACATGAGGATGTGCAAGCGTTTCAGATTAACACACAGTATTCACACGAGTAATCTCCTTCGGAACGAAGGCTGCAGTCTGTTGATTCTTTAAACATGGCTTTATTTCATGTTAATGAAATTTGCTAAAAATCTATTATCTATTATTGCAAGTTATTTAATTACCTCTGACTTCATAAAAGGTCACTAAAAAGGCATGTAAAAGGTCACAGTACAGTGTTTTGAAAAAGTAATCAAAAGTTGTAAAATTGTGTAGTATGTTGAAGAAAGATGTAAAAGTCCTAGTGAACAATATAGTATGTCCAATATATCATAATATAGTATATAGATTAAAGACGTAAAAAGATTATGTTGAAAAATGTATTGAAATAATTGATTAGTAAAGGATAGTATGTCAAAATAGAACACTGCCAAGTCAAAAAAGTCATAATGCATTTTTAAAAAGGTTTAAGTTCGTAACTATAAAAAAAAAAAAAATCCTAAAAAGCAATGTATGTCAAAACAGTCATTAAATCAAAGGAAAGTTCCCAGTATATTATGGACAGAAAAAGACTTGATTGTGTTACGGTTATTGAAAAGTAACAGTATGCCAAAAAGGTGTAATATAGTGTGTCAAATGTTCATTAAAAGGTCAATAGTTTCATACAAGATATATACTAGTACTCAAATGTTTAAGTACAGTATACCAACAAAAAACCCATATTGATAGAAAAGATTGAAAACAACAAAAACTGCTAATGATCCAACGGAAAGTCAATTTACTTACAAATGAAGCATCAGATGACTAACGGTCAGCTTTGACAATCTAAACAACACTACTGGCTGGAAGGAGGGTTTTGTCGCATTAACCAACCAGTTTAAGACCTTTTTCCTGAATCGAATTATGACTTTCTGACTGTTGAACCGGACTCTACATATCTAAAGCTTATGTGACCACCGCTCCCACCGGGGGGTCATTATCCTGTAGGACTAGTTATTAAACAGCCACAGACCCACAGATGACCAAAGCAAACAAACAAAGGCAAAGTATTCCCCCAGAGTACAACATTTATTTGAACATCGGTCTTAAAATATCAAATACCACTGGTACGAAACTATTAAAGCAATTCCCGTCAGCTCTGGGAATGTAGTGAAACAACAAAAAGGGTTTTAATAAGCCCATTTGGTTCTATGGGCGGCTGGGCTGTAGGGGGGGGGCACAGGCTCTGGGACAGGACCCTCACTGGCTCCAGTGCTCCACACACACACACACTCACACCAAACAATATCAATCAAAGCCAAAAGCATGAAACTACGAAAACGTGTGAAACCAGATAAAATACGGCCAAAGAGCAAGCGAGAGGCCCAGTCAGCAGCCGCACCACCGTCCGGGCCGCCACGCCGCTGCCAGGCCAATAACCTTCTGGGGGAAATCAATTTTAGTTAAAATGCAGGAAAACTCCCACCAGTAATGAGAAATGAGAAAGTAATCTCAATGAAGAAAACAAAACAAAACAAACACAAACGGGAACAAAAATAGAAAAACAGCAGTGCTTCTGATCCCATACATCCGGGCCGACTTTGACCTACCGCCAGCGCCACCCCCTCTTCGGCCGTACCGTTCGCCGGTCAGACCGTCCACGCCGCTGCCCCCCCGTCGACTGCCCACACCTGAAATGTTCTTCTTCTTGGCGGGTTACAGAGAGCGTATACCGTTTCATTTCATTCTGGACTTATTCTTTTTCTTAAAATTAAAAAGAACATGTTAAAGATCTTCCTTAACTTTACATTCAATGCATAATCCATTGCATTTTCCTAAAATTTGTAGTGTGGAATTAAGACCTGTATGACCTAGTCTTAGTCTGGTATACACCACTTCCTCTATTCTGTTAAAACCCAGTGCGGAGACCCTTTTCCCTCCAACTTGGCTTTGTACTTCATGGTATTGTTTAGCTTTAGGGTCAAATTCCCATTCACCTTGCCACCTTTCATGGGCTCGATCTTTATTAAACTTTTAAGCTCAGTTTCGCTGGGTCCCAGCACATGTTGGATTAAAAAGAAAGTAAATGAAATGGTTATCTCCATAACCAATAATCTAATTTTAGAACGTGACCCAAACATCGAGTCTGGACCTAAACAGCTGAACAACTGTCTCACTGTGACTGTGGGTTCAACCAGAAGTCAGAATCTTCGGGTTCTTTACGGCCTGTCCCTCCCGTGGCTGAACACGTCAGACTGCTTATTACTTAGAATTAGTCATTTCCTTATTATTCTGCTTCCGACTCTCAATATGTGAGTCATTTCTGTTATATACGTTGGAGGTTTTGTAAACCCTTTTCACATTGTTCATTCTGTACAAATGCAATCTGTTGTATCCCTCCTCTGCTGGCTTCCCTATAGGTTTTTTCTCTCCCTAGAAGGATTCTTTTGGGGGGAGTTTTTTGCTGAGATACACAATAATCTAATCATAGCTTTATATAAATTCAAAGACTGTCTATCTGCTCCCCAATTATGATCAGTCACCATCCTCATCAGGTTAACTACTTTGTTTCTATATATTAAATTTCCATGAAAGTTCATCATCAAGCTCTAGGTATTTGAACTTCTCTCCTCTTCCAAGTGGTTGATTATAGAGCATCATTTTCCAATTTCCAGGTATTTTCTTCTTTGTAAAATACATGAGCTTTGACCCCATTAAACTCCCCATTGTTCTAGAACCTGAACATCTTTTTGAAACTGGTTAATTATGTGTGAAAGATTCTTCCCCCTCTTCCATATGACAGCATCATCAGCATACAGCAGAACATCAGTATTATTGCCAAGTTTCTCAAATATACAATTAAATTAAACAAAATTGGAGTAATTACACTCCCCTGGGGAATACCACTTCTACCATTATGTCTTCAGATATTCCATTCCTCACTTTAAAAAAGGTAAAATGCAATTGTACATCTTGCCATTTATTCCAATGTTCTCCAATTTGACTAATAAACCTCCACATGGTGTCATAAGCTTTCTCAATGTCCAAAAACACTGCAACCATGATTTATTTCATGACGAGAGAATTTGGGCCTTTCATTTTCTTTCAATTACTCTTCTGCGCATATTTATGGTTCAACGTTTCATGAATCTCATCAGCTTGTGTTCTAAATCCTAGTAAGTCATTTGTAATGTCCACAATTGAATCCATCCTATCACTTTTCTTAGGATTGCATTGTCCTATTGATCACTGTACAAATAAAGGCAATGAAGTCATTTTTGTTAACCAGCAGTGTTTCCTCTGAGATTTTTGCTGTATATTTCACAACGTTCTTAAAGTCAGAGATACTAGGTCTACTGACCTGCTGAGTTCTTCCTTTTAGGGATTCTGATCCTTCATTCTGCTTCTATTTGACCAGCTGGTATATGATTTCAGTGTAGATTGCTCTGGTATACAGGAAGGAACATCTGGCCTAATATTTTTCTTCTCATTCTCAATCTCCTTAAGATCCTCAACATAAGCCGCTTGTTTGTTATCTTATATTTCGGAGCTTCCCTGGCTCCTTTTTCTTTCTCACATGCACCATATGCCGCACTATGATCACCTCTGCAATTGCAGCATCAGTCCCATATTTGTCATATTCGTGTTCTCCTCCGTGGGCGGCACGGTGGCGTGGTGGTTAGCACTGTCGCCTCACAGCAAGAAGGTCCTGGGTTCGATTCCGCCCAGTGGCCTTTCTGTGTGGAGTCTGCATGTTCTCCCCGTGTCTGCGTGGGTTCTCTCCGGGTTCTCCGGCTTCCTCCCACAGTCCAAAGACATGCTCTGGGGATCAGGTTAATTGGTGACTCTAAATTGCCCGTAGATGTGTGAATGGTTGTGTGTCTCTGTGTAGCCCTGCAATTGGCTGGCGACCAATCCAGGATGTACCCTGTCTATCGCTCGAAGTTGGCTGGGATGGACTCCAGCCCCCCCGCGACCCTGTGTGCAGGATAAGCGGTTGGACGATGGATGGATGGATGGTGTTCTCCTCCACATTTAGCACATGTAGATTTTCCTCTGCATTGAGCCGCTACATGTCCAAATCTTTGCATTCGTAACATCTTAGTGGAGGTGGGACATACTGTCGTACCAGGTGGGATATATATCCCATTTGAAATAAGCAGCTCTCCTTAAAACGTAACAAGACAGACAAGCTTTAAGTTTTCTCCTTTCCATTCATCAATTAATTTCCACTAATTCATATTGCTGCAAACTTTTCTTTATCTCTTCAATGGAGGCTGAAGTTGGGATTCCTGATAAGACTCATCTTGCCTTAGCTGTAGTACCTAGAATGTGTGACGTTATCCTAACGTTGTTAAGAGTTGCTTTCTTAAGAATGTTGTTTTGTTGTTCTTCAGATATTGCAAACATCAGGATTCTCCCATTCCCCATGAAACATGCGTGAATAATCTTACCTATTTCCTTCTCTATTGCCTTTGTAATATGTATCGGGTGTAAATCTGGTCCTTTTTGATCAAATACTATAATTACTTTCCAAACTTCATCCTGCAATCTAGCGTTCATAGATCCGCCATCAGCCTCGTCTCTACAGGTTCATCACTGCTTTCTGATCTTTGCCTGTCTTTCGTCTTTTTCATAACTTCTTCCTATAACATTTCATCACCGTCAATAAACAACCGTCTGAGTCCTCAGCCATTATCCACTTGATTTTACCGTCTGGCATTCAACTCTTTCCAGTGGTCCTTCTGCAGCCAACCCCCACAGGAGGAAACCTGCGCACCTGAAATGCGTTTGAGACCTCTGCTTTATAACCCGACTAATCGGCGAACCAGGAAGTAGGAGGGGCCTGAACCTACAGCATCTCAGGAGGGACATTTCCTCACTGGCTACACTTAGAAGAGCTTTTCCTAAACCAAACCAAAGTGGATTTGTTTCATAAAAGCATGACCTTGCTTCTCTTAGTAGTAGTATTGCTCCCTAAAAGAAACAAAACCTGATGATTTGATGATGCATTCATGTGCTTGACACCAATATACTGCATTTTGTTACTATTACACAAACTGCCAGGAGACCGTGTCAGTATATCGTGTCCAAAAGAGGCATCTAAAGAGGCACAGTAATAAAAGAAAGTCATTGTCTGCACCAACGTGACGGATTTAATCCCCCAAATTTTCTTGTTGTGAGATTTGAAAGTAATGGTTTTGTAGCTTTAAGAATGTCAGAATTGCCTCCGATGTTCAGTCCAACTTGAGCTAATAAGAGATGTTTCTCACTAAATGTGCTCAATGAGGATCAGCAGTCCAGAGTCTTTCTGCAACTTGTTTATTGTTGTAAATACTGTTACAAACATTCTGGCTCTGGTACAGGAATGTAGCGCCAATAGCTAGAACATCACAGAAATAAAAGAAAGCGAGCAGATAAATAAACATCGCTGCTGCATTACAGAAATGGTATTTTTATTGTAGTTTTTTTTTTGTTACTTTTAATCTTCAGACACATTGAGAGTTAACGTTTCAGTTACATTCAAAATGAGTGCACTTATAAATACTTGTTGCCAAACCCGGCGGCAGCGTCCAGGTCTCGTTGCCTTGGTTGGCTTCGTCGTGTCACACTAGCCTACAGTCTCTGACGCACTATGGAGGGAAAATATCACACGCACGCACTTTAAATGATCTTGTGCTCTAGCTGTATATATGTACACACAAATGTCATTCCACACACAACCAGCTTTCCTACATTCCACATCCAGAAACCTACGTACCTTTACGGAGTCGTCTATATAGTTCATCTACGGGTGTATTTTATATATCCAGCTGGTTTTTGTTTGAACACGGAGTACATTGGTTGTAATCGCACGCCACGCACACACCACACAAGCAGTAAGAACGGTAGAGCATGAAGCGCGTGGCTCCAGAGAAGGTCCCCACAAATGGCTGCTGTTGCCCCTGTTGCCCCCCACACTGTCAGCCCAAACATCATAAGAAGTAATAGCAGTAAGGCCAAGATGAGATCCGTTGATGGGGTCACAACGTGGGAATAAGCGGCGGGTTTTTGGAATCTGGGGGGGTCGGTGTGGGCGGATACATTCGGTTCAAAGACAAGTCGATTGGAAACGACCTGAACGGCCTTCAGAAGGAGTCTTAAGTCCTTTGAAGATTAGGTTGCTCATGAAGACTTTGACTTGTTTACTTATAGTGCAAAAGAAACCAGTAAGCACCAGTCACGTGAAGTCAAAGGTCATATTGTTGTTGTTTGTGCGAAGAAGGACATGCTGTCACCATCTTTTTCATATTTCTCACCTATATTTGACATAGAGCATTATGTGGCTGCAATAAATGTACACATCTTCAGCTTAATCAATTAATCCCTACAGGTAGCTTAAATGTTTGAGTAGAATAAATATGCAGAACCTAATAGCCAAAGACAATCAACCAGTGCCAAAAGACACAATATTATATATTATTATTAGAACGGCATCTTCTTCAGAAGGGACAACTCAGATCTTTTTAAGGTTTATAATTCACCTTCAGTAATAGTTGATGCATCTGTTTGAACCAAAACGTACTTTGCATCTTCAAGGATGCACACAAACCAAAACATTCACAGTAATTCACATTCTCTCTTCTCCAAAGAGCCCTCGTTACTTATTGTGAGTTCATGTTGATTCGTACCGAAGCCCTGAGAGACAAGTGGAAAGAAAATCATTCTTGTAATCTTTTTTATCTGTGAAAACGGATGAAAGAAGGTTGCGGCTGGTGACTTGTTGTTGCTAATCAAGTATTTTCACAACATTTCCAGGAGCGATATTAATAAAAGTATATATTTAGAAAATGGCTGAAAATGTTTGTGGTACTATTAAATGGGCTAAATCATGTCAATCATCAGAACAGTCATTTATGGGGACAGCCATGATGTCATTGTTAGGCAGTTATTATAAGCAACATTCAAATGTGATTTTGTGTAAGAATACACAAAAAAAAACATTCCCCCAAAACATTCAAATTAGAAAAATTGGAGAAAGAAGATAAAAAAGCGTCACCTTTCCATCTTTATGTAAAGGTATAATGGACCGATAATGCCGTTATTTCACTTGAATTCCAATGCAAGGATTCATCTTTTTAAACTATTGATAATTCATAGATTGGTGTTTTTGAAAAGGTCCAATTATTCTACAACTGCCAAAACCAATAATACCAGTTAGATAAAGAAAGAGATGAAAAGCACAACAAGGTGGTGTTTGCCTGCGAGCCTGAAGTCACCAAACCAAGGTCAGGGGTCACAAAGGTCATTGGAATAGACCAGGAAGAGGTGATGTCAAAATAGGTGTTTTGGGGGTTTATTCTCCTTTAAACACCAGGGAATGATGACTCCTCCTAAATGCAAAATATTTTTTCACTTCATAAACTTTACATACTAGTATGACAATTTGCGACGGTTGAAGACTTGATTTGGGCAGGAAGAGGACAGATCACCGGAATCATGTTGACACCCGTGTGAATTAGAGAATTAATCTAACTAAGGTACACTTAGACAGACTAACGCTACTCTCCGTGTTTCCTTTGGGTGTGTAGTGCTTTTATTGTGAAAGGAACTCGGAGGAGTGGATCTGGTCTGTGCTGGGTTCATCAAGGTTGGAAGGAGTCATAAAGTCTCTGCGTTGTTGTACACGATGAGGAACGTTCTGCACCACCACTGTTTGCCTTTACAAAAACTCTGCCATTTCTTTGCTGTGTATTATTTGCGTTCTGCGGGTAAGTAGTCATGACAAAGACAACAGAGTGAAAACATTTAAAGAGGTGCAAATGGAGTTTAAAAGCCTTTAGTGGATTGTTGATCGGATTCAAATAGCGAGGTATTCCGTTATTCTGATAGTATTAGATGTTAGCATCAGGTCATACACGTCGTACTTCCGGGGCAAAATACACACCCAGGTTTGCCATTGAAAACAATTGGTGGAATACACACTGGTTGGAATCTGGTTTCCAGTTTGCAATCTGACAAGTGAGGATGAGTCTGGTTTTATCGTTTCATCCAGCTCCCGTTTAACGTTGGTGGTTCCAGCAAACTATGCCGCAAGCTGCCTCTCTGCACAGCATCGAGCAGCAAGACGGCGGTAGCGGAAGGACGACGTGCTGGACCCGGCCCCCGCCCCAACATGGCCAACGGTTGTTTTGCTTAATGCGAATAATCAAGTGGGGTTCAACTTCATGCTGATATATCAGCGATTATCGTTCCCCTCTTCTAGTCTCTCGTCACAGATGTTGACGATAATAGCCTGGGATTATTTAAACCATGCAGTTTGTGCAACAAACCTGGACCTAGGTGGGGTCCCGTGTGAGTCAAGCTGGTTGAACACTGTAAGGGAACAGAGCTCCTGCTAGTGCAACGTACAGAAGAGACGGCAACGAAAGCCAAAACGGAGACAGCGGCTATCGTTTCAGCGGGAAATATGACGTGCAAAAAAAGGAGTTGGAATGTGAAATAATTTCAGCAGGATTGAGCCACACACCCTCCTGTGGAGAGCCCTGGGTGGTGCAAAGGGCCCGGGGTGCAGTATTCGGAGTGGGTAACAGCAGAGAGAAGGGAGAGCTGAAAAGGAAGCCAAGCTCGGCCCGAAAGATGGAGCGACAGCATGAAAAACAGACAACAAGACACAGGCAAAGGCCTGACAGTGAAATAGCGGCATGGCCGAAGGTACAGTCAGGGGTCAGGGGTCAGGGGTCGAATGGGCAGATGAATTTCACAATCAGGCTTCTGTTCCCGCTCATTAAGGTTTCTAGTGTGTAAGAAGTTCTCACTCTTCTTATTTAACAATGACCAAAATTGTCTCAGTGGCTGGAAAATGTAAGCTACATTAAAGAATTGTTTTCACCATGTTTGTTTTTAACAATAACAGTGAACCGGGATCTTTTTGTTCTCTTTTGGGTGTCTGAATGCATCATGTCCGAACGCTCTTTTACCAATTGTACAGGTCTCCAAAGTAAGAGCCAGTGACAGCAGATGGATGGTTGGATGTCTACGTTCTTGTAGAGCAACTGAGCAACAGAATCATCATGCTAACAACTCACTACTGTGGAGAAAGGGGGGAGAGGGGTGAGTGGTCCGGGGGGGTCAGAGCTTTGTCTTGTCAAATGTAAACGGGTTGCTCCTGGGCGGTCAGCAGGCGGTACATGGCTGCCGGCATCGTCTTCATGTGGATCTGAGCGAGACAGAACAAAACACTCGGGTCATGGAATCGTCAACAGTGATCCCCCTTGGAGATCAAGTCAAACGCTAGCAGCCGTTTGCCAACCCCGGATATCGACTTTGTTTCACAGTACTGATATATATCGATGCCACCGCCTCTGGGCGTGTCCAGTCTCACCTCTCCCACGGCGTTGGACAGGATGTTGACTATTTTCTCGTGGGGCGTGGCCACCACGCTCTGGCCGTTGATCTCGATGATGCGGTGACCCACTCGGACGCCGCCGCGCTCTGCGATGCCCCCGCGCATAAGGCTACAGATCTGTTGATAGGGACGGATCAAGTCTTCTACGTGACAAAAAGAAGAACCGTTTTACATTAAACGAACTGCGTGATAGCAGTGCTACCCACAATGCCGTTCTGCACACTGAAGCCCAGCTGGTAGCGGAGGTCTGGCCTTCTGATGAGTACGGTGGTCACTGGGGGACATCTGACAATGTTTAGCTTGATCCCAGACTGGTTCTTCAGACCCTACAGAGGCAATGGTCTCAGTTTAGGGTTGGGCTATATTAGATTATTTTACTTATATTCTAAATATATAGTTGATAGTATCTTCGTTCAACATGTAGCTGATTAAAAACAATAGAGCACACGTACCTTGATGATGCTCTGGCAGGTGCACAGTGGCAGTCCCACCAGACTGGTCCCATTAATGGACATGATCTGGTCCCCTATGTTCAGTCTGCCGGAGCGCTCAGCCGGCCCGGCGTGCATCATGTTGGCGATTATGACAGTGGGCAGGATGGAGCCCCAGCCGCTCTCCACAATGACCACGCCCAGAATGTCCCCCTTGGCTTTCTCTATGGACACCTGAGGTCACAGCACACAGGAAAACGGCAAATCAGTATTTGAAAGTGCGAATGACTCGATCCACAGCGCGACTTACGTCTTTGCAGTTCTCCGACTTAGAGAAGTGGATGAGGTCATCGTTGTACATGTCCTGAGTGTTGAGCAAGTCACTGTACTCCTTCTGGCTCAGGTCCTCGGGGTTAATGCCGTTGGCTCGCAAGAACTCCTGGTAAGCCACACTGAAGGCCTGCCCGATGGACTGGGCGATCAACTGGGCCTAGACGACAGGACGGGTGAACTCGTGATCATTATGTGTATAATCGAATGGTTACTCAGGCGCCGGCCCTTTTGACGAGCGAAGGCGCCGCGTGACTTTGCTGTCGGACTCACATCCTCAGACTCGAACACGTGGCATATCATCTTGTACTGCCGCTTGCTCTCGTGACCCCCGTCCGAGGCCTCCACGTTCTCCTGGGAGTCGGGCCGAGGCTGCCTGCGCCGGGCCATCAGGACCACGATGTTGCCGATGTCGGCAATGTAAGAGATGGTCCGCAGAGGGTGGTCCATCATGGTGTCCTGGGGGTGAGAGAAGCATCACAGTCTTTGTATCATCTAAACGGGTAGGGGGGGGAGAGGGGGGATCGTAGCCAAGTAACTAACAAACCAAGAAACTTTGGGTTCACATCGGAAATTAAATTGTTCCCCTGAATATATAGTATTTTTCCAGCTACTAAGCAGTTTACAAGCAACATGCTTTTCCACAACATCTAAACTTATTAGGCCATTACCATTTTTAGCTCGGTCTCTTACTTATTTTACAGTTAACATTCGAAATGTACCATCAGAGGTCTTTTCAGTCAGGTTTTGCTAAAATCCCAAACAAAAAAAGTGTCAGTGTAGTAAACTTTAATACCTTAAAAGATATAATATTCCTAAAAGCAACCAATGTGTAGACTGGGAACAATCTTTATCTGAACCCGGCTGAGACTGCAGACCCCGATCCGACCCGAACACAAAGCACATGCACGGGGTGTGTGTCGGAGCCAGTACCTGCGAGTCGGCGTTGAGGACTTTGATTCTCTGGGTGGAGATGAAGAGATCCACCTCGGTCATGGGCTGAGGCTCTCCCTCAGGGGCCTACACACACACACACACACACAACCACATTCCCATTGCATTATTATACACACACCCATAAAACATACACACAAGACAACAAAAGTCATTTCTGCGCTGATGTTGATGTCTCATTAGGACCAGAGCAAAGGGAAACCGCTGATGGGCGGGAGCAGAATACTGCTGACCATTTCCAAAGAATGCCGCTGTTATTATCCACCAATGTTGAACAAATCCCTTTAAGTTTGCTTGATTTTGATAGCACACTAATAGGTAGGACAAAAGCAAAGGCTACCTGGAAGGAAGGAAACCTGTACGACTATTTTGCACATTGACTTTTTGGTAAAACCTGATTTTTTGTGCTGTTGAAGATGTTTTAACCTCTTTGTTCTCATCAGATATCTGCAACAGTGACACGTGCACTCGAACTGACAGCAGCATAGTATATCTATGTGGCGAAACAAATCCCAGTCATCTGGCGAATGTGCTCGTGTGAGTTTTTCAATGGGGGAGGGATGGACTGTCAGTCTCTGCATGTATATGTATTGCCTTTAAGAAAAATAAACTTTAAATTTATGTAGTTATGTTAAGGCAAAAAAAGGCTTTGGGGGAATGTGGTTTGGGTCAGTATAGCTTTAAATAAATCAACATTCAAATGGATTCACATGGAACATACACAGCCGTCTCCCTGTTTAAAGTGCTGTGCTTGTTGACCCTGGCATGAGATGAGAGTTCAGACATGTTACCAAAATGACTTGACGGTCTTTGGATTCTGAAGTTCCTAAAGGCGGATTTCCTGTCTGCTATTTGCTATTGGAAAGTCACAACCACTGGAATGGCACTTTGCAGGGCGGTCAAAGGCTTTAAATGGAAAACCTTCCATTAGCTGCACATTTCATATATGTTGGCATGGTATGTTTCTAAAAACCCCTGATGTCAATGCTTTTGTTCACTCGCACATATTGTACTAATAAAACACTATGTGGACGTGCAAAGCAGTGTATGAAATAAAGCACTAGTGAGCCATGTCAAACGGAACAGTTCATCACCAGGTGAAGATTAGCTTTTAGTTAGTAGCCTAATTACGCCACTAGCATGGCCGGGGGCTCTTATTTTGACAAGCCGAGCCAACTGTTTGTCACCTGACTAGGTTGGTTAGCAAACAAGGGAGTGTATGTTAGTATCATACACGGTATCACTACAAACAGGATCGCAGCAGAGGGGCAAAGCACACGGAATACAGCCACAGACCCGGTGTAAACCCCACAGTGTCTCACGTGTTTCCTGCATCCAGCAAAATGCATTTCAGCCACAACAAGTTAACAAAATAAAAGTTGTTGAAAAAAAAAAGTTCCAAAGACGGAATGAATATATACCCCAACAATATAAAAAGCTGGATTCAGGAAAAGGACAACAGTGGGTCAGAATGGCAGCACGCCGAGGGGGACACAGAGGGGACACATAGGGGATGGGGGGGGCAGTGATTCACAGACAGACGTGGACGGAGACAAAGAGCCAAGCAGAGGAAAGACAGGCGCTGTGCTCTGCGGTGTGGAGCGAGGAGACGGGATACGTAGGTACTGCACCTTCTTCCTGTTGTGGGCTAATTTCTGGGCCGTCTGCCAGGCATGAAATAAAGCACACAGGAGAGTCAAGGGTTAGACTGGTGTACAAGAGAGACGGGGACGGGGCGTCCAGTGGGTTCACATCGAATAGTCCCACTCGTGTCGTTTGTGTGGTCGTTGTGTATTTGTGTGTGATGGACATCCCAAGATTCCACGCCAGAAGTCCAGTATATATACACACATACATATACGTATATGTATGTATATAAATAAAACAATAATAACATCTTTACATTTCCCTTCCATGTGAAGGCACGAAGTGGTTTCGCTTTCTGTGGCACTTTTTGGTATCACTCCCTGTATGATATTAAGCTGTGACCAATGGTCTGTACTAGAATAGAGAGCACACACTGTACGTGGTCCCATTCACATATTGTCACATATGTCTTGCCCGAGGACACATCAGGTGAGACAAGCGGAGTCTAACTGTCCTCACGCCGTGCTCCAGAGCACATGCTCTCCTCCTGCAGCAGGAAGGAGCCTCTGGATGCGCCGCCATGGACGGCAGTATGAAGACATTTGCATTGTCCTTCCGGTACCAGCAGGTGTCTCTGTTGTATTCGGCTTCAGGACGGAGCGAGGCGCTGACTCTCAGTCTCCTGGGCCTCGGGCTCCGTGGACCGGCTGCACGAGGACGGACCTGGGCGATGTTTAACGCCGGTCAGACGATCACACTTCATATGTTTAGAAAAGAGCGGTCTAGTTGCTGGACATCTCAGGGAGGAATCCTTCTGAATGTGTGCTCTATATAATATCATCACACACGTCAAGCCGGTCAACTCTGCTCAGTCCAGCATGAAACCTTTGTTTTTGGGCACAACTTCAAAATGTCAAGGTCATCTCACGTGGGCAAGTTAGTAATTAGTATTACAAAAATACAGAAAATGTTTTATTTTGGTAGATTAAGTCATTGGAGGGATGACAATATTTTTTGTAGGCTATTTGAGACTGTTTAACTGTTTAATGTGCTTTCTACCACTCATACAACACAACCTGGGGCTTCACCATGAAGAAATGATTATGACGTCATGTGGTGGTTTTCCTGGCTGCTGTGGTGGTTCCTGTTTATCGCAGAACAATATAGGTTATCTAAGATGCCAGAATATATGAACATTTAAAATATATTGACACATATCAAGAATTCACCTGCATAATATACAGTAAATGAAACAAAATCAGAGAGAGAAATCTATGACAAATAAATATATATATATATAAATAACATAATACATTAAAATAGAACAAAAAATAAATAGTAAGGGACATAGAGGTTTTAGAGATATGTTTGAATTACATTTAAAGGGAAACATCTCACCTCTTCTAATTAATCTTTAGTCATTGGTTATTTTAAAAACATCTTGCGATGGGGATCACACCAGCCGGGACCCCACATGGACGGGCTAGTTAGTGTGATCTTTGTGTGGTTTGGTACTTTGTGTACAGGCAGGATCGTGCTAGAGTTCGGGGCAATAAGCCTGAATAGGCCTGAATGAAACTGGCAGCCAGAGAAGCAAAGACAGAATCTGTGTTTGTTTGTTTTTTGGTTCCTGTATCAAGGGACAAATTAATTACTCATCCTGAGGAGATGAACGCACAAATGACACAGCTTGCTTGTGACTTTATTAAGAAAACATGTCAATAGAGATGCAAGAAAGTGAAGAAGAACGAAAGTTAAGAGTAAAAAATGACACCTAGATTTTTGCCGGATGTGTTAAGAATAGTTCGGCCATCAAGGCTGAAGGATGAATACTTTATTTTCCCCTTTGGCCCCACAATCAGGTTTCAGTGTTTTGTAAAGATCTAACAATAGAGTCATTGGTTTAGAGACAGAAATGGACCTGCAGGATGTCAAATTAATCCAATATGTGATAACTTACATACGTTCTCAGAAGGTACATTTCAATATTGGATAAAGCCATCAAAAGCCAGTATCTTGTTCCATTTTGTCATTAGAGTGAAATGTTTTACCGAAGGATCATGGATATCAACATGAAACGTCCCCGGCTGATTACTGACACGGAGTCATTTTTGGATAATACAAGTTTTCTCAAATTTTCCGTTTAACTATTGAAGCATTATCTAGTGTTAACTTTTGAAGAATAGAGGAGGTTTGTATGTCTCATCACACAGCGGTTACCACGGAGACGTGTCTAAAAGTGAGAGAATTGTGAGAACAGTGAAATCTGTTTCTATATCGCCAGGTTCTCATGATCAGAGCAGGGGGGCACGTGTGTCTGTGTGTGTCTGTGTGTGTGTCCATGATTGAATGCACTGATGCTTCTGTAAGTGGGGAAACTGGAATCTCATCTTGGTTTAGAGACAGAAATGAACATGCAAGATGTTGCCAAGTGGGAACATGCGTGTGAAAGAAGGAGCATTAGAAAGAATGTAGCTATTGAAAAATGAGGCTGTTGTGAGCAACATCAGCAATTACAAATCCCTTGTAACATTGTATGTTAAAAAGAGAAGTAGTGTAGTATTGCACACGCAGTGATAAAGTGGGCTGTAAGGCTCCACCTTTCAAACTACAATATATAATGCCAGCCAGCATTAACAAGGCACCATAATAATATGAAATATGCCTCAAATTTGAAGGCTTTGCCCCCTGAAATCATTTGAAATAAAAAAAATCAGTATTCAACCCACGACTTGCAATAACAAAGGGAAGGAAGAAAGACTGTCGTGGACATTACCATGGAAACGCAGCGCTCAATGTGATGCTAGCCGCGGTTACCTCTGTCAGTGCCGCTATGAGAGGGTGAACATGCACGCGCGTGTACGCAGGCGGTACGATACACATTCCTGCCAACGTGGTCACACTCCTCCACCGATCTACAGGTGGAGCAGAAAGGCCCTGAAGAAGGCGGCGAAAAGGAAAATGGATGAAAACAACGGCTCTAGCTAACACTCAACGATGGTTGGTGGTTTTGGAGTTTGGCATCTTACGGAGGGTTTAGTAAAGATAACCCGAGTTTAAGTAAACAGGCGTTGACAATGTTTGTTGGGGGAGTGAACCAATTAAGAGTCATTTTTCTCATGTTTCAGAGAGCAGCTTCTTCCCCCACAGAATATCTCTACGGTGCACAAACCCACATTCTGGTTGTAGCCTTAAGGATGACCTCGATGAGGCGCGCCGGTCCAATAATAAACCTCGGTATACTATGAGTGCTGCTGGAGTTTGACCTTATCCAGTTATAACAAATACTAAAATATCTGCTGATAATTTGGAAGCTGAGAGACATTAGATGTGTTATAGGATTATATTTATTACCGCTGCAGAGGCCTCCTGCTTTACTGTGAGCCATAATTCATCTGATGGGAAATAAGACAATCGGGGGGGTCTTGGAAAACGAGTGGATGACGGCAGATGGTCACAATGCAGAGCGCTGAGCTCACTGTGTGTTTTCACCTTGATGCGGCTGACGGCCTCCTGCGCCTGCATCATGCGGATGTTCTTGGACGGGGTCTTATCGGACAGCAGCTGGGTGGAGCCCAGGTAGTTGGCTGCGAAGATGATCCCGTCGATCAGGTCCTCCGGGTCACACGGGCCTGGGACTGGAGGGGAGGAGGGCGGTTCAGTCTCGGTATATGACAGGATTTACATTCTGTCATGATACAATGGACGAGTTCTCTGTGTGTACGACGACTGATGTTAACATGTGTGTGATCATTAAACATTGTGTCCACCATTTATTTCATAAAGGCTCTTCTTTGCTGTCATACATTATTATAAACATGGATATAGAGTGAGAGTTAAATAAAGCCCAAAGAATACATTCTAATATCTTTTGAATGTGAACTTTTTGCAGTCTGGCTAAAGTTCTTATTACTGGTTTATTACTGATCTAAAAAGCATTGAGAGATTATTTACTGAAGCATAAGCTACACTTTAAACGCGTACAGGGAGACACGACTGGTCAATATAGGATGAATGCAATAAAAAGAAAAGTTCCCTAGTTCTTTAGGCTAGATAATTACATTTTGGTATTAAGCGAGTACATCATACTAAATACCTCATTTAATATTCAAAATCAAATTAATCCAATACGAGATAATTTACATACGTTCTCAGAAGGTACATTTCAATATTGGATAAAGCCATTAAAAGCCAGTATCTTGTTCCATTTTGTCATTAGAGTGAAAGGTTTTACCGAAGGATCATGGATGTCAACATGAAACGTCCCCGGCTGATTACTGACACAGAGTCATTTTTGGAGTTTTCTCACATTTTACGTTTAACCATTGAAGCATTTTCTAGCGTTAACTTATGAAGAACTTATGAAGAATAGAGGAGAAAGGTTTTTGCCCGGAACAAAGTATGTCTCATCACACAGTGGTTACCATGGAGACGTGTCTAAAAGTGAGAGAATTGTGAGACTCACGCACAGTGAAATCTGCAACGTGTTTCTATACCGCCAGGTTCTCATAATCAGAGCAGGGGGGCACGTGCGTTTGTGTGTGTCTGTGTGTGCGTGTCCATGATTGAATGCACTGATGCTTTTGTGAGTGGTGGAACTGGAATCTCTGCATCTTTCCTCCGCTCTTCTCTCCCCCTCTTCCATCTTCATTTGCAACTCAGTGCCTTGGCATTTAGGAGATGCTGACGCAGCATTTAGGACAGGCATAGATCAACAGTGCAGTTCAGTAAGCCGTGTGTTACTATGGAAACGTTGAGGAATCTGCTTCAACGTACTCGACACTGGCGGGTTAGGCCAGGCCAAGGTTAAAAGGACAACACACATTCGCCAATGACGCTACTCGGTTTGCCAGAAGCTCGTCTGTGAGACGCAAAAAGCTGGTGGTCCGGATAATGACCCTGGTAGCACGACCTTAGAAAAGGTGCATGTGGTGCTGTGAGGTAGTGTAACCTCAGAGTTAACAGTAAACATGTGTTGTTTCTAACACAAAAATAACATTATTTTCTTAATGCACCAACACATTTTGACAGTTTGGTTCTTTCAGGCTTTTCAGACCAGCGGAAAGAAAAATATCTCCAAAACACGTTTAGGTTTTTATTTCAATACTTTGTCTCTTTCGTCGTTAGGTTTTTCTTTCTTTATCTCGTGAAAGAAAAAAGTTAGTTTTATTGTTAGTAATCAACTGGGGAAATAGGTGAACCCTGAAGTGTCTCCCCTAAAGCATTTACCAGCCCTAATTTAGTTTTTACACACAGCCTTGTTTCAAAGTATGGCCGTCAATATTAAGTCATTGATATTTTTTCCTGGAAATATTTCCAGCGCTTTGCATCTAATAAAAAATAACCAAAAGACTAATAAGGAAACTAGTGTTTTTGCATCTTCCAGTTACTACAGAGACGTTATAACGTCCAGGAACCAACAATGAAGTATTATCACCATTAAGAGCAAGAGGAAAAAGCAACTGTATTTCCAGTTAAGAAATCCTAGAAGTGGAAACTTTATGCCCCGTTTAGTAAGTTGGGAAGAAACGCAGCATGACCTCCGACTTTGGAGAAGCTTGATAAAGTGCCCTCTGGCGTGCAGAAAGCAGGGTGCAGTTCCATGGAGGCCTCCCTACGTGCTTTACTCTGGCTGCAAATACTAAAGATGTGTCACAGACCGTGTGTTTCACCTCCCTGCACGCCTCCCCTCCCGCTCCCGGGTTAGGGAGCACTCACCTTCTACATACGTGGGGAAGGACGCGAGGCTTCTCCGGGACTATTCGTGAAAAAAAAGAGAGCAGAGGGATTTCTTTCATTTTTTGCGCCAAAATGAGGATCGGACTAGAATATCTAATGTGGAGTAAAAAAGAGACACGCACCTCTTTACTAGAGGGGGAAGATTCAAAGCTGTCTTCTTGCAGCAGATGTCTAGTGGATGACTCGGCTCCTGGCGGGGAGGGCGAGCTCGACCCCGGGGACTGCAGGCAGAAACAAACAAAGACAAAAGTACAGAATTGAAAAAAACTTCTGGGCAAAAGCAACGTCAAATTAAGGAAAGATGATGAGAAAACTCAAGGCTACAGAGTTGTAATTTGAATTTTTTTAACTGCGCACCCGAGGACACGCTAGGCCCGTGCTCGTCGCCGTGATGTGAACTCACAGTGATTAACGGACCTGTGCGCAGGTGTAAAAGACAAGAATACGGCAGAATACTTGTATCATTGCGAAAGAGCATCAGCGACACATCTCACCTCGGCTCAGAGTGGGAATGGGTAAGAAAACCATAATACAAAATGCAGACCTGCACAAGATCCCAACACATGACCTCTGAGTGGGACATTGTCATAACACAGACGCCTTAACCGCAAAAACGAAAAGATGAATTTTTTATTTTGTGTCCCAGAGGATTTTTGATGTCTGGATTATTTCAAAATGTATACATATTATTATTCCTTTAACAGTAGTTATGATCCTTTCATATTGTGAATAAAATGTTTAGCGTTGTAATTATTCTGTCTTTTAAAACAAACCTTGGTGTTCACAGGAAACGTATTGATACGTAAGACATGTATTATTTAAGTAAGTGCTGTGTTAGTTTGACCCAACGATCCATGACGTCCTCCCCCCGTGGATCTTCTTACTCTTCATACGTCAGTTGCTACTTTCTAATAATGAAGCAAATGGTTTTACATTGGGATCTTTTGCAGGCCCCGTGCGTCTCACACGGAGGCGAAGGGGAACCATCGTGCATTAGTGGACTTGGGAGTGATGACGTGCTGCATCGTAATATGGATGTAATTAAGTCATTAGGCCGGTAAAAAATGCAGTTTGTGACTTAAATCCTCATAGTGTGGATTTATTTGTCTGAACTAAAAGATCAGAACAGTATTTCCTCCTCTGTTGTTATCGCAGGCTTCCACAGGTGCGTTATTATAAAGTCCTTTCTATCGGCTGAGACCAACAATATCTCAGTTGGAAGAATGCCGTGCGTTGACAAACAAAGAAAACTTCTTGTTGAATCCTCAAATAAGCTTTCAAAGGAGATGAGAGGTCTTACAATCAGGTCATTGCGTGTGATGAAGAACCCTCTACACACACAAGTGACAATTGGTTCCACCACAACTAGAAATACATCACTTCAACACGCCAATGTAAAAGAAACACAGGAGAAACTCCTCCGCCTGCCCACACCTCGTCTCCATCCCGCTGCTCCGTCTGCTGCGTCTGCTTGGCTTGTTCCTCCTCCAGCTTCTCCACCTGATACATCCAATAGTTTTCCATGGCTTTCAGCGAGTGCACGGGAACCCGGCTGAAGCCAACGGCGAGAAGCCACGGACGGACTGGCGTTTGGGGCGAAGGCTTAAAATGCAACAGCGGTTGGGTACGGACCGCGACTCAGCGGCTCAGGTGACCTGCTCAGGTGACCGGGCTCAGTCGGGCAGTCAACAGGCCGAGTCCCGGCGTCTCTCTGTGCATCGGCCTTGAATGCGCTTTGGCGGCGGGACTTTTTGTCTTCATCCGTCAAATGAATTTACGCTTAATGCTGAGGACGCATCGGTCAGAAGGTGAAGTTTAAAGCAGAAGCGCTGGAAGGTGGAGCGATCGCAGTGATCCAAACAGAAAAACAGCCGATGTCATTCTGTTATCGGATACTGCGTGAATTATTCAGGCCTCGCCTTGCCCTTTACCTATTTCTCTCTCTCTCACCCTCACTGAATAAATCATCGGGAAGGAGGGGGAGACAAGAGAAGGGATGCGAATACCAAATGGATGCGATCTCTATTCAGGCCGAGAACAATGGCCGATGAGAAGGAACATACTGCCCAAACGACTGGGCGGCCCTATGAAGACGTGAGGGTTACTGAGTCGAGGCGGATGGGCCTCAATGTGAAGAAATAATAATGGCTTCAATGTTTGGCATTCACTAGTGTGGATAAAGCCCTAATGATGAGGCCCGGCCTGCAGTGCGCATTGCCGCATGATCCCAAAGCTGCTGGATGGAGTTCTGGCCCAAGCGGATTGAAACTATCCATAAGAATTTATTTAAAATAACTGGAATAAAACGGATGCTTTCTCCAGCTGCAGTATGGTTTGAATAAATAAAAACAAAGCTTTTACCAGTGTAGGAGCCAAATGTTCACATCAAATGTCTTTATTTTATTCTGTACACTGGGTGGCGCTGTTGCTGGGGCCTGTGCGCACCTATATCGGTGATTGGGAAACAACTGACAGTAGGCGTTGAGCGGAGAGCGAACGGGTTGAGAGAGTTGGTTCCACTGGGAACAAAACATTATATGTAACAAATAAACTAAGATTAACAACACTCAGAACGTATCGATGGATTATGTCTGCAAACCGAGATGAACGAGATAAAATCTAGCTTCTCGATTTGAAGGCCCAATCTAGCAGCGTCCTAAATGTTAACAGGGAGCCAGCGAAACCTAGCAGAGGGTGTTAATGGCTCAGAAGGCGTGTATGTTGCTTTGGGCTACTGTCTGTTGGCTAAGTGAGATATCGCAGTCTCGCGCGAAGGCGTGCTATTTGTTGGTGCAGACGTGTTAACGCTGCCCCAATTTACTTCAGTTCAATTTCCCTTTCACTGTGGAGGCGTGAGAGAAGCTTAGTTTAGGAACTCAAGGAAACACAGGGGGCCATTGAAATAATCAGCATCATTTTCAGGGGTTTGATATCACTTAAAGCAGAGGTCTTCAATGTTTTTCAAGCCAAGGTCCCCCAAACTGATGGCGAGGTGGAGCAGGGACCCCCTATTCTACGGAGTTTGGTCCGCCATCTTTTATTTTCGAGCTTCACGCTCTTTAGACGTGAGCATAAAGGCGATCTGATTGGCTGGTGCCTGCGCTGTCGTACTCGCATGAAAGGAGCAGTGAGTGAACCGGCGCCCAGTTTGAGAGCTGCTGAGGGAAGCTGGATGTGTGTGTGTTGCGGACTGACAGATGACGTCTTCTCCATCAATTTATCTGTTCGCTTCAATATGTTGGATTCATGTTAATGTGTATTTAAAGAACATAAATACAATTCTGATTCTGAAGACATTTACATTTGTGGGGGAAAAAAATGTTTTTAAAAAATTGTCTTATTAACCAAAAATTTCGCGACTGCAGTACCTTCACGGACCCCTTGGGGGTTGCGGACACCCTGTTGAAGACCTCTGCCTTAAAGCCTTAAAAGGCCAGTTTGGTTTGGTTGTTTAACGGTCACTGACTGTGATTTGTTGTGACGATTTGTCCCACGTGGCGGATACTGTTGATGGAACAAGTGTTCCAGTCTTTTGGCCCAATCGTACCACTGTGATGCCACCGAAGACGACAGAACATCCAACACAACGTGATCGGTAATAGCCCAAGCTGCCGTACTTACATCACCCCCCAGCGATGGCGTCAGGTCACACTCTGCAGTGGGGCTCAGGTCCTGCCTCATTACCCAAATGGGTTCCTTGGGCTCATCCGGTGTGTATGGAGATCTCACCGTTCTGGTCTTCACCTCCTCTATGGCCTCCTTAATGTCCTTGATGGCCAGGGATATGGCGTCCCTCTTCTCCTGACTGTTCCTCACTGCTACAAGCTCCTCTGAGGGGCTCGCGGCCTCTTTGCCGGCTGGCTTCGCTGGGCTGGATGATTTGTGGTTTCTGTCTGAGTCAGTTTGGCACTCGTGTCTTGGGGTAACTTCTTCACCCTGCTGACGCTCATTCTCTTCATCTATGGTGTCCTCCAGAGCACGGTGGAGACTCTGAGAGCTCAGGCTTTCTTTGACCTCCGCCACGATGCTGTCGATGTCCTCCTCGCGGTCACAGCTGTCGGCGCGCGGGTACGGGGCAAACTCGGCCTCCTTCTCCGGGCTGTCCGACTCTCCATCGGAGCGCTCGTCATAGTGACGGAGACGGGAACCCACCGCCTCCTGTTGATGGTAGTCCCCGTCTCCCGACCGGCCTTCCAGCAGCTGAAAGCCGGCGCGCCTCTGTCTGAGTGACTCAGTGTCCTCGCCTGCGGCAGACGAAACTGACGCGGGAGCGTCGCGGATTTCCTCGTAAACGTGCTCTGAGAGAGAGTAAATGTCGTACGGATCGGAGTAGGCTTCGTCCGCCAGGGCGCCATCTAAACTCTCCAAGCTCTGGCCGGCGGACACCTCTGCCCTTCCTCCGGTGGTGTAGACGTAGTTGGAGTAGCCAGCGCTCAGCATCTCCTCTGCTTCGGCCGGCCTGTGCAGGTCCTGGATGTCAGGCAGGGGTTCACGTGGCGCGGCCTGAGGAGGATGGTTAGGGTGTAGATGGAGGTGCTGCTGTTCAGCCTCGGCACTCTCAGTGTAGCCCTCCGCCTCCGGCCGCAGCTGGACCGCGTAGTCCCCCGCCTCGTCCTCAACCTCCGGCTGCCCCTCCGGCTCGTGAGACATGATCACCAGGCCATCGTCCCCCTCTGCCCGGTCGGTGTGAGTGTGGAAGCCGCTCTCGGTGCTCGCTGAGCGGGCGAGCACCGAGTCGTCTCTCTCTCGTTCGTCTTCCCGGCTCATCTCAGCGCGGTGCTGCTTCTCCTGTTGCCGTGCCAGCTGTTGAGCCCTCTCCGCCTCCCTCTGCTGCCTCTGTCTGTGCCTCTGCTGCTGGGCTCTGATCCGGGCCTCGCTGTCCCCCTGTCGGCGGTAACGCGTCACCGCGGGTCGGGGAATGGGCTGCCGGGGCTGCGGAGACCCCTGAGCCCCTTGTTGCACCTCCACATCCTGCTCCTCCTGCGGCCTGCGCTGCTGGGGAACCCTCGCTCTGCTGCCGGCGCTGCCTCCAGCAGGGGCTTCAACGCGTCTGTAGCGCTTTTCCTGGCTGCTGTGGTTACGGGAGCGGCCGCTGTGGTTATTGTGACGATGGCGATGCGGCGCATCGGCCTCCTCCGTGACCTCCTGGCCGAGCTCTGTCTCCTGGGGGTTCATGGCTGCCTGGTTCCGGTGAGTTGAACGACTTAGTAGAAAGGGCTGAGAGGTCAGGGCTGCTGGGTAGAGGGAAAGAGGCAGAGAGAAAGGGAGACAACGTGAGTAAGGAGACTGAGTTACGGTATGAGTGAAATGTCTGGTTCATGCTCACACCAGAGTCTGGCACAGATTTGGGGATTTCTTGCAAAATAGGGGGAGCTGGAAGTTTCACTACAGAATGGAATAATGTAGCTGGCATCCTAACCCCATAGCCCATAACCCATAACCTGTTAGCCATTTGTATTCTATAGCCTCTTTTTTGGAGCAGTTTGCACTAGAATTGGACTTGAATTGAGCGTGTCAATGAAGGCGGCATACGTGTCCTGGCCAGATGAGCCCACATGGCTCTCATAAGAAATAATAATAACTTGAATTGAAAGAAGATACATTTTCAGGTACTAAAAATCTCTAAAAAGCTGAAGAAAAGAACGTTCCTCTCTGACTTTTGTTTATCCACGTAAAAAAAAAGCAAAAATCTACAAAAACTAAAGAGGGATTTTGTGATGCAACATTGGTTCACTCAACAAAAAGAAAATTACTTTTCCGTTGTATTTTAGATGATCACAGATACGTTTTCAGCAAGACTTTTACAATATTTGAAGCGTGAAGGCCATCATCGAACAAGAAGCTAACGTTGGGCTACAAACAAGCTAAAGCCCAGTCACATGAGTTTGTTTCCCCGGAGCTAAAGTTGGTTGTGACATATTAAACCACTTGTTAGCAGCCAGGATAGCAGCTCTGACTGAAGTATCTCATGTGGTAGAACAAAACCTTTCTGAAAAGCTTTCTAGCTTATGTTAACCACGGGCCGTACTTCAGGCATCTGATCAAGAAAGAAACTAAAAATGTATTTTGAGACGAAGGAACCATAGCTGCCAAAATGAGGACAATCCTGTGGCATTCTACAATCGGCAAAAACAAGCCTTAATGTGTCAAACTGCAACCTGACTTCGCCGTGTCAGCGCGGTCACATGTGCACACATAACACCTGCATGTGCCTCCATCAGGCCCCTGGCTGCTCCCACTCATCAACGCAGCTTCAGCATCAACAGCACCGTGTGCTGCAGCCACTTCATTAAACTCACTAAACTGCCATTTCAGAAGACAGCAGATTTCGTTTCTCAGCACGATTATTGTTACGGATTTAAGCAGTAGAGCGCACCTAGTAGTAGAAAGTATAATACATGTAGTAATGTTCAGTGATAGATTTGTAGTTTGTGTGTTATTATTTATTACATGTTACATGAAATAATTGCAATATGAATAAAAACAATTAATAAATCTATAAATATTTTAAGTCATATAATTACTGTACACATAAACATCCTGTCACGATGTGATGTTAAAACCTGGGGACGGATGCTAGTTGCCGTCCTTTTCTCCCAATTTTATCCCCAAAGAGGGTTTTTTCTCCTGTCAGGTAGTGAATGAGCAAAGGATGAACAGCAGCCATGCGAGGCAAACGTTGTGATTTTAACACAATGGTTAAGATGTGATGAAATCGGATGTTATTATGCAGGCTATGTTATGGTTACATGATGAAGCTTTAAGCCAAAGGTGCGATCATTGAATGTCCTGTCGTAATAAGTTAACGCGGACTGGTCAGGTCAGTGAGGGATTTCAGATTCGACCATCAGATGGAGCCAGCAGGGAGTCATGTGATGCTTTGGAGCAGAAAGCAATTCACGAGGGAGGAGCTGAGCTCGAATGTGCAGCCAATCACATACGGCGGCAGCACGAGGGACACGCCCCCCCGGGAGATTGAAAGAGTTGGAGAAGAGGCAGAAAGAAGCCTCCTGTGAAGCAATTTGATGGTCATATGAGACTGGACGAGGGGACTTCTCTGTTTCGCAAAATAATAATATACTATTCATACTTTATTTTACTTTGTAACTGTATTGCTTATTACTTACTGTTAGTCATTAAATTCTTGATCATTTTTAAACTCGAGCCAGTTGACTCTTTATAAGTTCTCGTCTGATCAGAGGTTCAGAATTCCACATTTTCCCCCCAAAAGGGCACCGGGGCCGCAGCGGCAGTGGCCCCTAGAGGCCTCAATGTTCATCACACTCATTCTATGGAGAATGAATTATACAGTGTCTTCAGCAACTCATTTATGATCCCATAAAATTGCGTCGTAGCAGGCATTATAATCCATTTCCAAGAAGTATTATGATACTTGACTTGCGGTCATTATAAAATGCTTTACAAAGGTTTGCGGTTATTGTTACGAAGCGTAATATTCATGAGCATAATATACAGTAATATACAGTGCAAAAAGGTTGTGATAGTGATGTGTTATAAAAGGTATTTATAATGCATTATGAACAGTTATTGTAATGCGGTGTAAGAAGATAATAAAATATGCCAACTATGAGAATTATAAGACAGGATATGATCTTGTCAAAAGTAATACTAGCCAATGTCAATACAGGCTTTATGCCACGTACAAGTAATTCCACATGACATTACATGCATGAGAGAGAAATCTGACAAAGTGAAGAAAGAAAAAAGAAAAAAGATTTTTCCTTCCTGACTAGAGTGCCAGGATGACGAGATGGTAGTTAAAATGTAATAAACATGGATTTAAAGGCTTGTGGTCTTTAAGTGTTTACTAGTATCATATCACGACAATGTTTTTTTTATTACGTTAATATGCTTATTCAATTGGCTGATGTAATAAACACAGGCGTGTTGTTGCAGAGGGAAAATAATGCGTGGATGTGGACTTGCTTTTGTTTTATTATTCCTCTTTTAGCATGGAGCTCTGTGCATAATTCATTTTCATTTAAGGTCAGTGGAGAAAACACTGCTCAGTCTCATTCAGAAATTAGTACTTGTTGCAAAATACAGGGAAGAGGTCATTTAGAAAAGGAAATGGTAGTTACCGTGCAAGCACAAAGAAATAGATGTTTTACAGCCCAGTTTGGGTTTTACACACCAGTACTGACTGTGCTTAGTTTAACGTAACATTACTGTGCAGCAAAAACAAATGGAACAAATCCAGCCCAGTTTTCACTGTTTTGTCTCTCTGGCTGTTGAATGGTTCACTACGTTCCCCAGTTAGACTCTAACGGTGTGTGTCTGCTATTTGGTGCTGGGCCGGTAGTCTAAAGTAGGTCGGTTGGAACTTGTTTTTTCTACAATTTTCCCTCTGAAATTTCTATTTAACTATTTTTTTTCCATTTGCATTTTATATTTAGAATGGGATTTGATTCGTCCTCTGGTTGTGTTGCCTAAAATTGTAATGGTCAGCTTTGGGTTGTCTTTAGTTCCACTGTAAAGACACTTTATGTAAAAGAAATTGGCCCAAAAACGCTGTCAACAAACCAAATGGCGATGTCACCTATACGGCCACAATTTGTATAGACAGAGTTCATGGCTCACACACGCACGTGTCACATTATGTCTTGACATACCACACTTAAAATGAAGTACATCTTATCTTATTTATATAAATCCTTAAAGGAGTCTAAAGGCAGCGTGGCGTCGGTACTGTGGTGAGACGGCGCTCACTCACCTTCTGTCATCAGGCAAAAACGACTGAGTAGCTTTTTTTAAATCTTTTTTTTCAACCTGTAACAGAGCAGGAGTCTTCATTGTAACACGAGTGCAGTCTACAATTAAAGTAGACAATTGTCTATTAAATCTAAACGTAACACGGCCATGTGTAAAGTGCATTATGAAGACACTTAAAATGCACTGGTAATTAAATACTTGCACATATAAACATTCATAAAAAGTATTCATGCTTTACAAGGATCATTTATAATTCACATTGTTGTGATACATTACAATCTTTTTATCATACATTATAATAACATCTATTTATATTTTTTACAACATCTTCTGTTATTTTTAATTAGTTTAATAGGATGATAACGACCGGTGTGTATAATGCATAATAAAACATTTTAAAGTGATTATTGTTGTAATAGAGTATATGCATCAAGGGGTGTAATTATGATTATACAGTGCTGTGAGTAAAATGCTTTATACACACGCACACACACCAACTGTGTGTCAACTGTCAACTGTGTTTTCTCACACGTGATGTGTAAAATACATCATGGTTTGGCTGGAAATATTTAAGTAATTTAAAGACTAAAATTAACAACACATAAAAAAACAGAATTAATCCAATTGAAGGTTTTTCATTGTTTTTATAATGTTGGATCATTTTTGTTAGTTAGTTATTATTAGTTATATTATTAGTAAGTTTAAAGACAGAACATATAGTTAACAATTTCTTACATATCACCGCCTTCATCCAGGGCTCGGCAATATACCCAAATTATATTCATATTGTGATAATCATAAGATGATCTAGACAACATTTCAGATATTGGATATAAGGATACCAGTAATACCAGGATTGTCAACCCTACTACGTCGTTGCAATATCAGTGTCTAAGTATTTGGTGAGAGATATTTTCACATTATGGTACGGATTGACTGAATTGTAAATCTTTTACATTATCACATGATATCTTGTGCACTTTTGTCCCATCTGATGGATCACTCCGCTTCTCGCCCTCAGCTTTCTTCTACATTCATTTCTTGCTAGGGAGTTTTTCCTGAGCCGACGTCAGGGTTTCGGGACAGAGGGATGTTGCATGTGTACAGTTTTTAAAGCCCTCTGAGCAGCTTTGATTGGAGTGACCGTTGGAAACAGGATCACGTTGACTCACTGACCATCCAACTTCAACATCATTACCAAGCAGACAGGTCAGCTTCACAGGACCGTCCCTAAAAGCTGCCCATGGCTTTATCATTCTAAAAACCTTTCAAAAATATGTATAACGTCTACAGAATCTCCAGGGAGCATTCCCTGAAGGTTATCTAAAGGTTAGTAGTCAGACCTTTCAAAAACGATGAGTAATGCCTTCTACCTTTTAGCTGACCTGTGTACACAGCGTTGCCACAGCAGCTCAACTCTGTGTGGAAGACAACGACAACACAGCTGTGTTGCTGTGTTGTCGTTGTTGTGCGATAGGTAGGAACTTTGACAGGGTAA